CCTTCATAATTCTGGGATTCACATTTAGGTCCTTCCAATATATTTTTTAAAGAGCTTATGGAAAAGATAAGTTAAATCCTAGTATTAATAACAGACTTTGGCTATGGGTTTTATTTGTTGGTGTGTTTTCCTCTTAATTACCTTTTAGGGAAAAAAAAAAAAAAAACAACTTTCTTTTTCTTTACAGGAGCTCCAGGGTGAAACCTGGGAGTATTCTTCTTACGTGATGTGCTTTATTAATGGCCAATTCCTGGGCGACGTGCTCGAGCTGCAGAAATGGGCTCACAGGGTGTGGGATGTACTGGACGTTAAGCCCTTTGCTCTGTATGAAGCACTTACTTTGGATTTCTCCTCTAAATTCTTACGAGACACCAAGGCAAGTTACAGCGATGTAATTTTTTTAATGGTGGGACCATTGATCATTTATAGTGATTAAGCACTAATTATTGATAACCTAACAAAAGGATGTAAATGAGCAGGAGACTGGGTTTTATGTCCTCAATGACTTTATGATCTACTTTCAAAGACTGGAATATGGCAAGGTTTGCCTGGTGTGGTGTGTTTCTGAGTAGACTGGCTGTCCCGGAGGAACATCCCTGTTCAAATAGTTCTGTTGTGATCACTCTGAAGTGCCTGTGAGTGGGTTCCAACTCATAGCAGCCTTGTATAGGGTTGCCAAGGAACATCTGGTGGGCTTGAACCACCGACCTTGTGGTTAGCAGTCCAGCGCTGATCCTACAGTGCCACACCAGGACTCCTTAGATATTTCTATCCCCCACTAACAATTGTGTTCACTAATCATCACTCATCTTAAAAGCTAAAGACTCTGTTGGAGAAGGCTGAGCTTATCACTCACTCACCATTAGTTTGAACTCTTTTAACTTGCTCCTTTCTGACACCTGGGTGAGAGCTGTTGCACTGAGTGAGTGGATGTTTGGACTGAGAAGAAAGGTGGCCTATTAGCACAGGATACAGAGTTGATAAGACCACAGACAGGCTTGGCCGTGCAGAGGTTTCCATTGACAGATGATAGGCATGAAGCTTAAGGCCCAAGGAGGCAGAGACAGACATCAGAGGTAAAAGCACTTTGGAGCTCAGAAACCTCATTGTAGAACAACTACCGTGTGTTAAAGTTAATTTCCTGCCATAGGGTCCTGTGATGGTATCTGAGCTGTCCAAAGACAAAGACCTTGTCTATTCATTGCTGCTTAACCGATGCCACAAACAGAACTAGAAACAAAAGAGGTGCTCAGTGAATGCTAAGTTGCATAGCAGTGTACTTTGAAAATGCTAGAAACTCTTAGGTACGGATGGGAATTACTGAGCCATAGCAGTTAGTGGCATATACCCCAAAGAACTGAGAGCAGAAATGCAGTTACTTGTATACTAATGTTCACTGCAGCACTATTTATGAGTAAAATGATTGAGACAACTGTATCCAAAGGAACAGAGGACTGGAAGTAAGTGGAGTATCTGGGAATGACAAAGGACAGCAAGGAGGACAGACTTCGTGGGAAATGAAACCCAGAAAGTAAAGAGTACTAGTTAACACCAGGCTACTCTGGTTTTTGTAGAGAGGAAATTGGGTAGCTGACAATTAACAGAAAAGATGGAGAACCAGCTTTGGAAAACGGGTAGGAGCTAAGGGAAACCTGGAAGTAGGAAAACATGACCTATCATGGCAGAGGCTGCATGGCCGAGGTACTGCAGACCCTGGGTTTGCCTTGCTACTTTTCGTTGTGAGTCATTTCTGAACTCTCTGTCTTTGGGCCACTCCTTCATTCTTCATAGATCCAGCATCCCCGGCAGGAGCATGGCTGGTCCAGCCAGGCCAGATCTTCACACCCTGACTGCCACAGTATGGGGAGAGAGAAAATCTGGCACCTTTGGGTCTTGTAGAAAGTGGTGGAGCCCTGCAGGAAGTTCCTCAAACAGAGAGGTTCAATGTTATGTAGACACACAAAACCCCCACTGAGTCCCACTTACAGAAAGGTTGAGGCTGGATTATGACATACTGTTCATCCTGAACCAAGGAGTTAAATATTATCCAAGAGGAAACCACCAACAGCTGTTCAAACAGAGAATTACACCATCCTCCTTTTTGGGGGGAAATGAGTTTTAGGGCTGTGCAGATGCAGGCAGGAGTGGGAGAGGCTGGTGGCAGCAAGACCAATCGCAGAGCTGCTGTAGGAGTATGGGCTAGAGATGTGGGTGGTGGGGTGCCGTGGAGTCAGTTCCGACTCATAGCGACCCTGCAGAGGGTTTGCAAAGCTGTTTTTACGGGAGCAGAAAGCCTCATCTCTCCTGCGGAGCGACTGCTAGATTTGAACTGCTGACCTTGCAGTTAGCAACCCAGCTCATAATCACTATGCTACCAAAGCTCCTTAGAGATGGTGGGAGCCTAAATCAATTAGTGGCAGGGTGGCTAGAGGACCTGGATTCCAGAGAAAACTTTTAGATTGTCACACAGAGGATGGATTTGTCTTGCTGAGTAAAACCCGGGACTCACTTGTTCAGAAGCTGCCTTGGTTAGTTGTGGGTTGTGGTAGTGTGCTGGACAATCATGGTCATGTGTCTGACTGCAGGGTGACTGGGTTATTACCTTGTTTTGCATTCATGATCTCTTTTCATTAGAATTTTTAGAATTATTTACTCTTTACCAATCCACTAAGGAGTCCTGGTGTGATGCTGTAGGATAACACTGGACCGAAAGGTAACTGCAAGGTCAGTTCAAACTCACCAGCCGCTCTTTGGAAACCCTATACAGGGTCGCTGTGAGCGGCACTTAACAACAGCAACAGCAAAGGTAATGTATTGATATATAGGGGAGTTCATTGATTCCTAAATGCATTACTCATTTAATCAACCAGCATCTCCCTACTTTTCCTCTTGAACCATTGTGAAGTTTACTATATGATGCCTCCTACTCTTTAGTTATTATATTTTCTTTTATAATTGTTGCTGTTAAGTGTTGTAGAGTTGGTTCTGACTGATAGTGGCCCTCTGTAGGGTTTCTGAGGAGTGGCTAGTGAGTTTGAACCATAAGCCTTGAGGTTTAAAGTGATTTTGTGGTCTAGTGCTTATTGACCAGGGAGGACTCTTTTATTATTAAGAACTTGTACTACAGAAGCTGAAAGACAGAAATGAATTAAAATTAGTATGGATGTCGTACTTCATCCCTGGATGCTAGATTAACACAATGCTATTTCAGTCTTTTTAAAAAATAAAAGGTTTAGAGTGCCTACTCTAATAATGATCGGCATTTTAAAGTGATTTAACTTAATACTTCCCTTATATATAGATCCTTAAGAAAGGAGCCCAGTGTGTAGTGGGTTCTACATTGGGCTGCTCACCACAAGGTCAGCAGTTGAAATCCTCCAGCTGCTCTTAGGAGAACGATGAGGCTTTCTACTCCCATAAAGATTCACAGCCTCAGAAACTCTTTACAGGGTTGGTATCAATTGGAACTGACGGGACAGTACACAGCAGCAGCTGCAGACCCTTACAAAATAGGGCAGGACAGGCTATACACCTTGTAAATGATGTTTTAAATAAGTAGGTATTTTAAATGTATGTTATAGTCCTAGGACTTGAAATGTACTCTTGTTAGATACAGTTTGCCCCTAGGTGCATGCTGTCATGACAAAGACTAGTGTTTTCACTGTGGAAACCTCTTAATAACATTTAACAAGGTAATAGAGCTGTGTCTCCCAGAGCAGGCATCAGTTGAAAGCAAGAGCTGGGGCATCCATGAGCAGGAGGATATTACTTGAAAGTACAGCTTCCTTCTCTCCCTGCCCCTGCTGTGCCACACCTTCCGTGGAAATAGTGGCCCTGTTTTCCCATTCATAAAGGATGTAGCCAGGCTCTGAAAATCCAAGATATCAGTAACCAAACTCATGATGGATCTTTCCCCAAAATGTCTCCAGAAAGCAGAGAGAAGTCCCTATCTGTTCTTACTGTCAGGGACTGGCTAGTATTCCATTCCACACTCAGTCTGCCCTGTCGGGGATATCTGGGCCACATGTTCTAAGTCTTGTTGGATAAGTTAATGTTACTGAAAGCTTCACTACGGAAGAGTTTGGAAGAGTGTCTTCTTTCAGTTGTAAAGACAGGACACACTAAAACAAACTTCTGTAAGGCATTCATTTTAGTTAGGCTGCTGACCCAGCTGTGCAGTTGAACCTTGATCATTGAAGATGTTCTCTGTTTATATTTTGAGTTGTTTTGAAAACTTTCTTAAAGAAACTTTGACCTGCACTCTTTTTTGTTCCCTAACTTTAATAGCATGACTTTGTGTTCTTGGACGTTAGTATTGATTATTATCCAATTGGAAGATTGGTTTTTGAGGTAAGAGTTTTTTTGGGGTTTTTTTTTTTTTTGCTGTTTAATAAATTGGGGAGGGGGATTTGTAAGTGCAAAAATGTCAAATATTTGATGTCTGAGACCACTTATCTTTATTTTATAGCTATACTGTGATGCGTGTCCCAAAACCTGTAAGAATTTCCGAGTACTGTGCACAGGAAAAGCAGGATATTCCCAAAGCGCTATAAGACTTCATTATAAAGACTCGATTTTTCATCGAGTAGTACACAATGCTTGGATACAAGGAGGAGGTGAATTTAAAACCTTAAATACAGTTTCATTTCCACATCAAAAAAAGAGTGTACAAAATTTGTTTCTCTACTTTTGTGAAATATGTACAGAATAGAAAATAAGGGATTTAAAGGATTTATATGGCCAGATGATTAATTAAGCTAGTCATGCTGCTGTGGTACTGTAAAATAAGCACTGGTCTGCTAACCAGAATGTCGGCAGTTCAAACTCACCAGCTGCTTCTCGAAAACCCTATACAGGGTCATTATGAGTTGCAATTGACTTGAAAGCACTAAACAAAAACTGTAAAAATATCCCCTAATCTTAAAAGGAATCTACAATATGTTACCAGGAAGATGGCAAAATGAAAAGTAATAAAGGAAGGCAGGATAGGTTTTTTTTTTTAATCAAAATGTAATTTCAAATGTCCACTTTAGTAAGGGTTCCTATGTATGTTGTTAAGTGTGAAGTCAGTTCCAACTCATAGAAATCCTATATAGGGTTTCTGAGGTGGGTTTGAACCACTGACCTTGAGGTTAACAGTCTAGTGTTTATCCCATAGCTCCACACCAGGAGTACCCAAGTGTCCTTATTTTTCACTAGAGATACTCATGGCTGGCCACCATTGTTACAATTGATAAGTTGTTGTTGTTAAGTGCCGTCGAGTTGGTTCCAACTCATAGCGACCCTGTATAGGGTTTCCAAGGAGCAGTTGGTGAGCTTGAACCACCAGCCTTGCCGTTCAAACCAACTTTGCAGTCCAGCACATTAACCCACAGTGCCACACCAGGACTCCAATTAAAAAGTAAGATCCCCAAAATTGTGGCTTCCATTTTTGGTCAATCCTTTGACTTCACAGAGAGGAGTTGCCTCATTAACTGTACAGAATTCAATTTGGCCTCTAGGTGATATCCCATAGGAGGCAATTAGGCAGCAATTTCAAAACAATTGACTAAGTGTGGCGGGAGATTTGCTTGAAATTGATGAAATATGCAGAGGCATAAATTAGCATTGTTTGTTTTTCTATGATGTGGAACATTCTGAGGCTGACAAGGAGAAAAATGGAGATTTAGCTCAAGTATCTTACATAGAAAGCAGCTCAGATCCCAAATCCTTTTATCTAAGTTCATTGTGCTTCCACTTAATACTTGTATTTGGCATTTATCTTCAAATGTAGTAAGTGAACAAATTTGTTAGAGTCTGCCTAGTTTTTTGTTATTACAAAACAATCCTCAAGGGGACCAATAATCAGGGCCTCGTGATGACGTAGTTCATTGTTGATGCTCATATGCTGGCCTTCTTATTTGGTTTTGGTTTTGTTGGACCTATCTAGAGCAGGATTTGAGAAAATTAGGTAATTATATTTGTTTATCTACTTATTTATGGTAAAATTTCTAAACAGAAGAATGCAGACATCTTGAGTCATTTCTTCCAACAGCGAAGCAACTATGTTAAGAACAGCTTGGGAAAAACCTGATTATTAGATTCAAATCCAATCAAGTTGTGCCACCATGGGTACTCCACTTAACATCTCTGAATTAATTTCTTAATCATCAAATGGTGATCGTTATAATAATATCACAGTAGATGGTAAGGATTCAGTGACATGGTATATTGAAAGTGCTGAGCTCTGTAAACATTCTCCCTTCAGATGTCAAATCCCCACAAGGCTGTTCATGTAGAGTTTTGCAATCCAGGCACTAACTGGGGTTTTGCAGGTACCTTAGGAGTCTTGCAGTTGTAATGGCTTAAGCATTGGACTGCTAACCACAAGGTTGTGGTTTAAACCCACTAGCCACTCAGCAGGAGAAAGATGAGGCTGTCTGCTCCCATAATGATTGGGTCTTGGGAATCCTAAGGAGCAGTTCTGCTCTGTGCTACAGGGTCACTTGGTGAGTCAGAATCGACTGGTCTTCAGTGAGACTTTTGGTTTTAAGTTGCTCCAGGCAGTATGGTTTGCCCTTTGGAACCAAGAAGCCAAGAAGCCTAGCAGCACAGTCTGTGCCACCCCCCCCCCACTTCCTCTCATCCGCTGGCATACTCTGCTCTGTACACACACTGGCTGCCTTGCTGTTTGAGGACAGCAAGCATATACCTGCCTTGGAATCTTTTGCTGATTCCTTTGCCTGGGATACATTCTCTCCTTCATATATCCCCTTGCTTAAGCCCTTGTGGGGATTTGACATCTGAAGGGAGAATGTTTACAGAGCTCAGCATTTTCAATATACCATGTCACTGAATCCTTACCATATCCTGTGATATTATTATAATGATCACCATTTGATGATTGTTCCTGATTTGGGCACAGATTTCATCTTCTCATCAAGGACTGTTTGAAACTGCCACCTCCCTCTCCCAGAGGTCTCCTCAGCCCCCCTGGGGCCTGTTTTATTTCTTTCATAGCACTTTTCACTATTATATTTTCCTCTTTTGATTTTGTTATTGTCTGTATCTCTTCACTAGAATATAAGCTCCATGAGGAAAGAGACTTATATCCACTTTGTTCACTGTTGCATCCCAAGTACAGTGTCTGGCACATAAGTTGTTCAGTGCCATGGAGTCGGTTCTGACCCATAGTGACCCTGTATAGAGTTTTCAAGGAGTAGCTGGAGGGTCTCAACCATCACAGCCTTGGTGTTAACAGTCCAGTGCTTATCCTACAGTGCCACACAAGGACTCTAAGTAGATGCCTGTTAAAAGGATGAATGAAGGGATGACGAACAGATAGTTAACACCAGAAATACTGATGCTTGTACATTGTGTTCATTTCTAAAGTACAGTTTCTAAAGAAGATTCCAAGTTGGTTAAACTACTTTGTAGTTCAGTTCTCCCTCTGTGGCCCTGACAAGGCCTGATGTCTTCAGAAGGATCTCTTGCTGTGTGGCTTCACAGATTTTATTATTAGTATTATATTGATATGATGATGACAGTGAGAAGATGCATTCCATCAGCACGTGATCCTGCTGTATAATAATGGCCATGAATGAATGAGCAGGATGCTCTGCCAGGCAAAATACTAAGTGCTCTGCCTACAGTATTTCATTGAGTCTTCAGAGTTGCCTGTGAGGCATATTGGGAACTCTATACAGGGTCACTATGAGTCAGAACCTACTCGATGGCACTTAACAGGCTTGTAAAGTCTAACTAGCATCAAGATCTAAATTAAAGTCATTTGAGTTGAAAGTCTGCTTTGAACCATATTCTGTATCCCTGAATTTGTGGTCAGGAGCATAGAGATCCTGTCAGATATACAAGGCTGAATTCAAGAGAATGGATGGTGGCCACAAATGACACTATCAAGAACTGGTTGAGATGGTGTCATTATAAAATACTCAGGCTATCTGAATCAGAGGCCAAGAGTAATGTGGGTGCAAGTGAGAAGGAAGTGATGGGGCAAGGGAGCGTGACTGATGTTGTGGATACAGTAGTGCGGGAGAGGAACTACCTGGGCAGATTTCCTGAGCAGAGCAAACCTAGAATCTGAAGGAATTGATATTGAGGATACTCACCTTCCCCATATCCAGGTTTAGCCTTCAGCACATCCTCCTGACACCTGCTGAGGGCTGTGGAGCAAATTGTGGAAACTATCAGGTGGGATAGGGTTCAAGACTCATAGCTTTCCACTTATCTTCTGCACCAGTTTACTTCTCATCCGGTCTTATGAATAGTATACTCTAAATGCTATTTGCTCAGCCTTGAGTAATTCTGTCCACAAGTTTGCCATGTACCAGACTCTATTAAAATGGCACACTTTTATTATCGATAAACCATGCATACTGAGTTAAAATGGCACATTACTTCAACAAGTATTTATTGAGCACTGAGTCCTGGTGTGGCGCTGTGGGTTAATGCACCAGACTGCAAAGCCATTTGAACTGCAAAGTCGGTGGTTCAAGCTCACCAGCTGCTCCTCGGAAACCCTATAAGGGTTGCTACGGGTCGGAATTGACTCGAGAGCACTTAACAACAACATATTCAAGGAAGGAGTCCTGGTGTGGTGCTATAGAATAAGCACTGAACTGCTAACCAAAGGTCGTTAGTTCAAACCCATCCGCCACTCCTTGGAAAGTTTTTAGAGAGGGTCCCTATGGATAACATGATGAAATGTGGATATTTAAGAACACTTAATTGTGCTCATGAAGAATCTGTACATAGACCAACAGGCAGAACAAATAGGACAAAGGAACACTGGATAGTTTAAAATCAAGAAAGATGTAGCCTTGGGTTGTATTCGTTCACCATATTTACTCAATCTGTATGCTGAGCAAATAATCCAAGAAGCTGGATCATATGGAAAAGGATGTGGCATCAGGATTGGAGGAAGACTCATTAACAACCTGTGACATACAGATGATACAACCTTGCTTGCTGAATGTGAAGAGGACTTAAAATACTAACTGATGAAGATCAAAGACCACAGCCTTCAGTATAGGTTGCACCTCCATGTAAAGAAAACAAAAGTCCTCACCACTGGACTAATAAATAGCATCATAATAAATGGAGAAGTTGTGAAAGACTTAATTTTGCTTGGATCTACTATCAACTCTCATAGAAGCAGCAGTCAGGAAATCAAACTATATATTGCGTTAGGCAAATCTGCCCAAGACCTATTTAAAATGTCCAGGAGCAAAGATGTCAGTTTGAGGACTGAGGTGCTCCTGACCCAAGCCATGGTATTTTCAATAGCCTCATATGCATGTGAAAGTTGGACACTGAATAAGGAAAACCACAGAAGAGTTGATGCATTTGAGTTATGGTGTTGGAGAAGAATATTAAAAGTACCATGGACTGCCAGAAGAACAAACACATCTGTGTTAGATGATGTACAGGCAGAATGCTCCTTAGAAGCCTGGATGGCGATACTTCATCTCTCATGCTTTTTTGAATATATTATCAGGATGGACCAGTTCCTAGAGGAGGATATCATGCTTGGTAAAATGGAGGGTCAGTTAAAAAGAGGAAGACCCCCAGTGAAGTGTGACAGCAATTGTGAGGTTGGTGCAGGACCGAGCAGTGTTGTGTTCTGTTGTGCATAGGGTCACTATGAGTTGGAACCAATTTGACGGCACCTGTGGTGCTATGGGATAAAGCACTGGACCACAAGATCGACAGTTCAAACTCAGCAGCCGCTCCTCAGAAACCCTATCCAGGGTCCCTGTGAGTTGGAAGTGACTTGACAGCACTAAACAACAATAGCATATTAAAGGAAAGGAAGCCTGGTGGCACAGTGGGTTAAGTGTTAGGCTTCTAACCAAAAGAAAGGTCAGTGGTTCAAACCCACCACCTGTTCTTCAGAACCATAAGCCTGTTGGCTGCAGTAAAGGTTTCATCTTGAAAGCCCTATGAGGCGGTTCTTTGTTTATAGGGTCACTATGAGTTGGAATCAGCTTAATGGCAGTGGATGGGTATATTAAAGGAAGTGCTCGATTAGAAAGCTGGAGGAAATGGATGCTGATGGGGAGGCTGGGGTACAAAAGACAGCTTTGCTTATGCATGAAGGGTTTTCATAGTAGGGACATGACTTAAACCCAGATGTAAATGTAACACGTTATTAAGTGCCGTCAAGTCAGTCCCAACCCATAACAACCCTGTACAGGGTTCCGACGTGCGACTGGTGAGCTTGAACCGCTGTCCTTGCAGTTCAAACCAACTTTGCAGTCCAGCGCATTAATCCACATTGCCACATCAGGACTTATAAGCACCTAAAACAACCCATCACCCCCTGAAGGAACTTCATTTCTAAAGTACTAGAGAAATAGATGAGTTATCACTAGGAGGCTCCAGAGAATGCAAATTTTGAATCTTCTTTTTAGAACACTGATTTTTATTCGTGTTCTAAAGAGAACTTGTTCCGATTTCATCCTCCCAGCTTACGCTTTCAATTTTTCTGAAAAGCAGGAAAGCCATTTTGAAGCAAGTAGAATTTCTATGAGCACACGTCCTTCAAATCTCCACCAAAATTAAAATTTGATGCCTCATTATTTCAAAGGTTGTGCATTATAGTCGAATAATCTCACAGTTATGTGAGGTGAAATGGGATAATGAAGGAAAAAGTGTTTATAAAATACAAGCGAAATCATTGTAATAATATTTTCATGCTATAGCTGTTGACTTAATTCTAATATTTTTATTTATGGTTATTTCTCAGATATAGTCACTGGAAGAGGAGATGGTGGAGAGTCAATTTATGGACCCACATTTGAAGGTGTGTACCTTGAAATTTTGTCAGTCCTATATTGTTCAGATTTAACCTGATGGCTACAGATGATACCTGTCTAGAATATTGCACTAAGAGTGAGGTTTTAAAATTAGGATAGAAAAAAAGACACTCTAGTCCAGAACATCTTGGTGACACTTAAAAAAAAAAAAGTACCTAATTATATGATTTCTTTAGGATACATCTCTACTATTAGGGTTATAGGTTCAAAAGGAATTTACATTTTTAAGGAATGCAATTTGTTAAGCTCATTGCCACTTTGATAACCATTCTATTAAGATGGCTGTAAGAAGATTCTGGGAAGATGAGAAATCATAGTGGCAGAGGTATAGCTTTCTAATGTTCCTAAATCCCAACATGAAAACACAAGATAATTAAATTTTTAAAAAAGCCCATGGACACAATTTAAAACAAAGCTAGGTAGCAGGGCACCTATATAGAATCCAAAAGCAAATGGTGAGCACAGACAACCAGCAGCTATGAAGTCTGCATGATATCAGCATCTATGGGAGAAAGCAAGGCATCTGGTAGACCTGAGACTAGGAGAACCCCTAAGTAGCCAACAACAGTTAAATGCAAAGTATTCAGTAAGCGTGAAGGGGCTGGAGCAGCCTAACATCTGTGGACTCTTGATATGAACTTGGCAAGGCTGCCTTCTAGGACAAGTCCCATACTGAAGAGAAACTGTTGGATACACAATCAAAATGTTTCAGGAGAGGGACCAAAAAAAAATAAAAGTAAGTGTAGATAAAGGGAGAATGGGAACAGAGCTAGGAAATCTTAGGAGGTGAACACAGCATAAAATGAACAACATAAAAATGAACAAAAAGGTTCAAGGCTAAATCCCATACATACTTATTGTCCGATAGGCTGGATTCAAGGGAATGTTTGGTGGCTAAAAAACGTAATACCAAGAACTAGTTGAGATGGTGTCATTATAAAATGCTCAGGAGACCTGAAGCAGAGGGCCAGAGTAATTGTGTGAGTGAGGAGGAAGAGATGGGGCAAGGGAGTGGGATTCGTGTTTGGATAAATTAGTACGGGAGAGGAACTACCTGGGCAGATTTCCTGAGCAGAGCAAACCCTAGAGTCTAAAGGAATTGATGCTGGGGGATACGTACCTTCCCCGTATCCAGATTTAGCCTTCAGCCAAGACAAAGAGAGTAAGAAGTGGAGTAATGGCACTACAGCTAGTGAAGGCACACCAGAAAGACATGTTCATGGAACAGATAGAAACTGGAACGGCCTATGTCCAAATGAACTAAAAGACATTATTAGTAAGATAAGAAACAGGAAAAGAACTCCTAAATCAGAATTAGGAAAACTTTTTGAAATTATAGATTAAGGACAAAGCAACAACAAAATCAAATGACTTCAGAAATGAATAAACTAGAAGGAACACAAGAGCAAATAAATATAGTAGATCTGTCTTAAAATAAATAGAAGGTGAGAGGAGGAAACAAACAAAAACAGAAATAAAAGATAATGAGGATATACAAGAAAGTGACAGATATTAAAGATGGAAAGAGAATATCCAGCATACAGATAATAAGTATTCACTTGTCTGTCAGTTTGTTAAACTGTGGTAGCTTATGTGTTGCTATGATACTGGAAACTATGCCACTAGTATTTTCAATAGCAGAAGGGTCACCCATGGTGGACAGGTTCTAGCAGATCTTCCAGACTAAGACCAGGAAGAAGGAGAGGTGGACCACTTCTGAATGATTAGCCACTGAAAACCTTATGAATAACAGCAAAACATTGTCTGGTACAGTGCCAGAAGATGAGGCCCTCATATTTTGGAAGGCACTCAAAATATGCAAGGGGCAGAGCTGCCACCTCAAAAGAAGAGATGTTCTTAATAACGTGGATAGAACAAAACTTTTGTGACCTTCATTTGCTAATGGGGCACAACTCAAAATGAGAAGAAACAGCTGCGAACATCTCTTAATATTCAGAAAGTGGAATGTATGAAATGTGAATCTAGGAAAATTGGAAGATGTCAAAAATGACATGGAACACATAAAGATTGACGTCCTAGGCCTTAGTGAGTTGAAATGGACTGGTTTGGCCATTTTGAATCATATTGTTTATTGTGCCAGGAAAGACAAATTGAAGAGGAATGGCATCACATTCATTTCAAAAAGAGCATTTTAAGATCTAAAAGTATAATGCTGTGATAGAATAATATCCATATGCAAATAAAGGAATAATTGTTAATAACACTATTATTCAAATTTACACACCAGCTACTAAAGCCAGTTATGATGAAATTGAATTATACCAACTTCTTCAGTCTGAGATTGACCAAACATGCAATCAAGATTCATTGATCATTACTAGTGATTGGAATGGGAAAGTTGGATACACAGAGGAAGGCCTTGGTGATAGAAATGATACTGGAGATTACATTATAGAAATTTGCAAGACCAATAATTTATTCAATGCAAATACCTCTTTTGAACAACATAAATGGGACTATTTCATGGACCTCACAGATGGAACACACAGAAATCAAATTGACTACATCTGTGGTAAGAGCCATTGAAGAAGCTCAGTATCAAGGCCAAACAAGGCCAGGAGCAGACTGTGGAACAAACCATCAATTGCTCATATGTAAATTCAGACTGAAGCCGAAGAAAATTAAAACATGTCCACTAGTCAAAATATGACCTCAAGTATATCCCACCTGAATTTGGAGACCATCTCAAGAACAGATTTGAGTGGATGAGAGAACAATTAGGCAGGTTTGTATGGGCTAAGTGGGACAGAAGAAATAATGATGTATGCACAATCTTGGAGAAACAGGGCTCTGGGATACAGGGATTGAGACATGATTGTTTTGGGGAAAAGGGGGGAAATAATGTTAAGATGCTAGGCTGTCTTTTGAATCTTGGTTTTCTTTGCATTACATTATAAAATAGACACTGGAGGGGGAGAGAAAGGAGTAACAAGAAATATCACCATTGAAAGCTTGTAAGTCCGTCTTCTGTCTATAACTGATTGGAATACCTAAAATGGGGCTACAGTGTGCCCAGTGAAGGAGGCTTCCTGTGGAGCCTCTGCATTACATAAAACTATAGGT